ACTGGTTAGTTATATGTGGTCACTGGTTTGTTATATGTGGAGGTCACTGGTGAGTTATATGTGGTCACTGGTTAGTTATATGTGGTCACTGGTTAGTTATATGTGGAGGTCACTGGTTAGTTATATGTGGTCACTGGTTAGTTATATGTGGTCACTGGTTAGTTATATGTGGAGGTCACTGGTTAGTTATATGTGGTCACTGGTTAGTTATATGTGGTCACTGGTTAGTTATATGTGGTCACTGGTTAGTTATATGTGGTCACTGGTTAGTTATATGTGGTCACTGGTTAGTTATATGTGGTCACTGGTTAGTTATATGTGGAGGTCACTGGTTAGTTATATGTGGTCACTGGTTAGTCATATGTGGTCACTGGTTAGTTATATGTGGTCACTGGTTAGTTATATGTGGTCACTGGTTAGTTATATGTGGTCACTGGTTAGTTATATGTGGTCACTGGTTAGTTATGTGTGGTCACTGGTTAGTTATATGTGGAGGTCACTGGTTAGTTATATGTGGTCACTGGTTAGTTATATGTGGTCACTGGTTACTTATATGTGGTAACTGGTTAGTTATATGTGGTCACTGGTTAGTTATATGTGGTCACTGGTTAGTTATATATGGAGGTCACTGGTTAGTTATATGTGGTCACTGGTTAGTTATATGTGGTCACTGGTTAGTTATATGTGGAGGTCACTGGTTAGTTATATGTGGTCACTGGTTAGTCATATGTGGAGGTCACTGGTTAGTTATATGTGGTCACTGGTTAGTTATATGTGGTCACTGGTTAGTCATATGTGGAGGTCACTGGTTAGTTATATGTGGTCACTGGTTAGTTATATGTGGTCACTGGTTAGTTATATGTGGTCACTGGTTAGTTATACGTGGAGGTCACTGGTTAGTTATATGTGGTCACTGGTTAGTTATATGTGGTCACTGGTTAGTTATATGTGGTCACTGGTTAGTTATATGTGGTCACTGGTTAGTTACATGTGGTCACTGGTTAGTTATATGTGGAGGTCACTGGTTAGTTATATGTGGTCACTGGTTAGTTATATGTGGTCACTGGTTAGTTATAGGTGCTCACTGGTTAGTTATATGTGGTCACTGGTTAGTTATATGCGGTCACTGGTTAGTTATATGTGGTCACTGGTTAGTCATATGTGGAGGTCACTGGTTAGTCATATGTGGAGGTCACTGGTTAGTCATATGTGGAGGTCACTGGCTCCAGGAGTCACATGTAGAGGTCACATATAGCTTGAGTCACTACACGGGCTGACAGGTTGTCAAAAAGTTCCTTGAACCTCTGTAATGACAATAGTGTCAAACGTCATAGAAGGGTCATCAAAAGGTCATTTAATTTAGACTTAGATTTAGAAGCTTTATTCGTATGTGTGTAAACATGAACAGTTGTAAAATAGGTCTTACAACTGACATTTTGAAGACAACATTTTTGAAAAAAAATATAGCATTCGATTAGAAAATGGCAATTTTAATTTGAAATATAATTTGAATGGTAATTTGAATTTGAAAGATAATGTAAACTAAATATAGCATAAAGTTTTCAAACTTTGCATAGTGATGAGTGATGGAAGAAGGAAGGTTCTTGGATGTCTTAGTGGCAGTTGGCTCAGCCAGGGTCGTTAGTCGGGCAACGGCCGTCAGGCTCTGCTGGTTGTTGGGCAGTTATATGATGGGTGGGGTCCTGGGGGTCCATGATGGGTGAGGTCCTGGGGGTCCATGATGGGTGGGGTCCTGGGGGTCCATGATGGGTGGGGGTCCATGATGGGTGGGGTCCTGGGGGTCCATGATGGGTGGGGTCCATGATGGTGGGGTCCTGGGGGTCTCCTCCGACGACGCACACACACACAACCCAGCAGGAATGTTGCCACACCCTCTGTTTCTGGCCACAATGCCAGAAACCCTCAGTCTCTCTCTCTCACATCAATTTGTATTTGTGAAACATTTCTGCAGTGTTCGATATTGTGTATTTACTGTAGTACTGGCGGGGGATGGCTTTGGTTCACTGTTCCCCCCCACACACACCTCTTGTCCCACATGGCGTGACACACCAACGTCAACCACAGTACCTACAATAAGAAAAGCATTGTCCGTACAATACTGAGAAGGAATATATATATATATATATATATATATATATATATATATATATATATATATATATATATATATATATATATATATATATATATATATATATATATATATATATATATATATGCTAGCTGTTCCCGGCCACGCATTGCTGTGGCTCAGCAACCCTCCCCTGTCCTCCCAGTCCTCCCCACCATTCCCCACTCCCTCGTCCGATGCGTTCCCAAATGATCTGATGTTCCCATCACTGAAAAATAATAAGAACAGTTAAAATTAAATGCATAACAATGAAAAAATACAAAATAAACTATACTAACGAAATGAACGGTGTGGTAAACAACACAGCTCGATTCCAACACAATGTTACACAAAACAATTAAATCAAAACGAAAATAAATCTAAATATGAAAATTCAATTTATCAATGCAATCGTACACATTGAAATGGAATCGTAACATATTTAGTAGAGCGTGTGTTGCTTTTACGTGCAACAGATGGCGCTGTTTTTCAAAAAAGCAGGTTTTTACCTGTCACAGACGTGGCATCTATACAGTAGGTATATAAAAACACGCTCGTATGCTAATGGAACGTTGTGTCAAAATTTCAAAGCAATCAGTGAAGAAATTTCGGAGAGTAGCGATATTGAACAAACGAATATTTACAGTTTTATTTATATAGATATATATAACATAAAACACTGGCCTGGTCCACTATTAAGAATGAATCAGCCACTCTCGGCTTGCCTTAACCCAAACTTGTGGGAAACACTTTGCGTAATTGTGGCGTCATTAGCATGCGTAACTCACCACACTTATACGTTAGTTACTCTTAGGTTCTTTGTGCACACTTCCTAGTCAATACAAATTATTATTATTATTATTTTTATTATTTTTATTATTAATATTATTCTCATGAGAATATCACTAACACTGAAAATGATGCAATAATCTTCACTAATAATAATGAGGCATTCAATCAGAATTAAGAGGAAATTAAATTTCACTTTAAATTCAGCAAATAGACACTAGCAAATACGCTGGCAACTGTTCCTAGGATACAATACGCTGGCAACTGTTCCTAGGATACAATACGCTGGCAACTGTTCCTAGGATACATTACGCTGGCAACTGTTCCTAGGATACATTACGCTGGCAACTGTTCCTAGGATACAATACGCTGGCAACTGTTCCTAGGATATAATACGCTGGCAACTGTTCCTAGGATACAATACGCTGGCAACTGTTCCTAGGATACAATACGCTGGCAACTGTTCCTAGGATACAATACGCTGGCAACTGTTCCTAGGATACAATACGCTGGCAACTGTTCCTAGGATACAATACGCTGGCAACTGTTCCTAGGATACAATACGCTGGCAACTGTTCCTAGGATACAATACGCTGGCAACTGTTCCTAGGATACAATACGCTGGCAACTGTTCCTAGTATACAATACGCTGGCAACTGTTCCTAGGATACAATACGCTGGCAACTGTTCCTAGGATACAATACGCTGGCAACTGTTCCTAGGATACAATACGCTGGCAACTGTTCCTAGGATACAATACGCTGGCAACTGTTCCTAGGATACATTACGCTGGCAACTGTTTCCTAGGATACATTACGCTGGCAACTGTTCCTAGGATACAATACGCTGGCAACTGTTCCTAGGATACAATACGCTGGCAACTGTTCCTAGGATACAATACGCTGGCAACTGTTCCTAGGATACAATACGCTGGCAACTGTTCCTAGGATACAATACGCTGGCAACTGTTCCTAGGATACAATACGCTGGCAACTGTTCCTAGGATACAATACGCTGGCAACTGTTCCTAGGATACAATACGCTGGCAACTGTTCCTAGGATACACATACGCTGGCAACTGTTCCTAGGATACAATACGCTGGCAACTGTTCCTAGGATACAATACGCTGGCAACTGTTCCTAGGATACAACACAAAATTGAGCATTACGTATCACAGTATTAATAATACACACGTAGTAATTTGTATAGTTCAAAATACATTCTAACACTAATGAGTATACTGACCCATTATTGTTCCTTCAAGGAACATCTGACCACCAAGGGAACATGGGAGGAAGGTTTCACTCCCATGGTGGCACTCTC